CCTTACGGCCACAGCTCTGGTCAGTTGTCTCCACAATGGAGGCGTGGAACATGGCCCATTCGGACTCAATGTCCCTCACCTCCCCCAGGACATGGGAGAAGTTCTGCCGGAGGTAGGAGTTGAAACACCTCCTGACAGGGTATTCCACCAGACGTTCCCAGCAGACCCTCACTATACGCTTGGGCCTGCCAGGCCTGGCCGGCTTCCTCCCCCACCAGCGGAGCCAACCCATCACCAGGTAGTGATCAGTTGACAGCTCTGCCCCTCTCTTCACCCAAGTGTCCAAGACATGCGCCCGCAAGTCCAACGACATGACTACAAAGTTGATCATCAAACTGTGGCCTAGGGTGTCCTGGTGCTAAATGCACGTATGGACACCTTATGCCTGAACATGGTGTTCATTAATTTAATTTAACCTTTATTATCCCTCATGGGGAAATTCTTTTTACGCCTCCATCAACTTGCTTTTTGTAGAACAAGCTGTCTGCGAAGGGCAGCCACCTGTTGGGGCACCCAGGGAGGTTAAGGGCCTTGCTCAAGGACCCACAGACATGCTGAGGCTGGGTTTGAAGCGGCGACCTTGTGATTACAAGCACACAGGCTTAGCCCACTGAGCCACACGCTGCCCCAATCCATGACGAGCACAGAAGTCCAACAACAAAGCACTGCTCAGGTTCAGATCGGGGGGGGGGCGTTCCTCCCAATCACGCCACTCCAGGTCTCACTGTCATTGCTCACGTGAGCATTGAAGTCCCCCAGCAGAACAAGAGAGTCCCCAGGAGAAGTGCTCTCCAACACCCCTTCCAAGGACTCCAGAAAGGGTGGGTATTCTGAACTGCCGCTTAGCGCATAAGCGCAAACAACTGTCCCCCCACCCAAAGGCGAAGGGAGGCTACCCTCTCGTCCACTGCGGTAAACCCCAATGTACAGGCGCCCAGCCAGGGGGCAATAAGTATGCCCACCCCCGCCTCTCCCCGTGGGCAACTCCAGAGTGGAAGAGGGTCCAATCCCCCTGAAGGAGACTGGTTCCAGAGCCCAAGCCATGCATCGAGGTGAGCCCGACTATATCTAGCCGGAACATCACAACCTCGCGCACCCGATCAGGTTCCTTCCCCATCAGAGGGGTGACATTCCATGTCCCTAGAGCTAGCTTCTGCAGCCGAGGATCGGACCACCAAGGTTCCCGCCTTTGGTCACTGCCCAGCTCACATCGCACCCGACCCCTATGGCCCCTCCTATAGGTGGAGAGCCCATTGGAGGGGGGACCCACATGCCTTGTTCAGGCTGTGCCCGACCAGGCCCCATGAGTACAGGCCTGGCCACCAGGCGCTCACCATCGAGCCCCACCCCCAGGCCTGGCTCCAGGGGGGGGTCCCGGTGACCCGTGTTCGGGCAAGGGAAACCGTGGTTCCAATATTTTTTTCTTCATTAGGGGTCTTGTGAGCCGCACTTCGTCTGGTTCCTCACCTAGGACCTGTTTGCCTTGAGTGACCTTACCAGGGGCATAAAGCCCCGGGCAACTTAGCTCCTGGGATCATTGGAACACGCAAACCCCTCCTCCTCGATAAGGTGTCGGCTCCAGGAGAATACAATAACTCAAGAAGTGTTAGATGGATCCATTTCAGACTTTGCAAAGGCATTATATGGGTGGCGGAATGGAACCCAAAACCAATGCCGATTAGTGGCAGCAAAGGGTAGGGGGAAAGCAGATGGGATTTGACTTAAGTGAAAAAGAATGTGATGGATCTTATTCACTAAAACATTATAAGGATGAAGATCTCCAACTGCTCTAATTTTCAGACAAATTGCCCCAAAAATTAAACAGCTGCACAAGGGAAGGAATGGCAGCTGTCAAAGACACGTGGTCTTTGAGCACAATAACCCTTGAAGTATTGTTTGGATCTTTTTCAAACTTTGCAGACATACTGTAGGGATTACAACCTAGAAGAGATTAAATTTTGAGGCAGATTGCCCCAAAACTGTAGGAGCATTGCATAATTGCACAAAACATGGTTAGTTCCAGACATTTGATTCTGTTACAGCAATAATTCAAAAAGTAAATGACAGATCTTTTTCAAGATAACCATAACAATAATGCCTAATTTTGCCATTAAATTAGTTGAAGCTTTGTTTGGACAAGTGCCAGGTCTAGCAAAATAAGACTAAGTTGTATTGTAAGAAATCCGTTGTATTGCTAAAAAAAATGACTGGTGTTTTCAGACAGTTCATCTTGTTAGAACGATAACTCAAAAATATTTGACATCTTTTTAAACCTCTGTTGACTTGTTGTATGGGTGAAGGTCACACCAAAGATGAAGCAGCACTGCATAGTGATAGCAAAAAGAAGGCCAGCCCGGACACTTGATTTGTCAGCGTAACTCAAATGTTTGGGCCGTACTTTCCAAGGCACATTGTATAGGTGAATATCTGGAATTATTCCAATTTTGAACCAAATTGCACCAAAACTGAAGCAGGAGTGCTTATTTACAGTAAAGAGAAAAAAGCAATGATTAGAGGCTTTTTCTTGTGAACAGGATGAATCTATTTGTTACCATTTACTCTATTTACCCTATTTGATCATTGATCCATCTTATTACCATTTCACAAAAACATTATATGGATGAAAATCTACACCTGAAAATGTACAATTAATCAGATCCAAAACTATAACTGCAACGACAAAGGACCGCACAATTGTAATTGCAAACAGAGGTTAACCCAAAGCGAAAACTGAGCCTACAGTCGCCATTTTGTAAATGCAGATCTGCCATCTAAATTTTTTCCAAGGATCTTTGTACAGGTAGGCAATTTTAAATCAGGGGTACGAGATGATTTTCTGAATATTCTATAATAATGTTTATATTGATTGTTGGTCCCTAGCCTCCCCGCTGGGCAATCTTTTTTCTGTAACAATGCACTAGCTGGTCGGCATGGATAATGGCTTTGCTCAGACTCCAAGCTTCGCTCTCAACTGTGTATGTGTACATAAATATGAAATTATGTCTGAAAAGGAAAGACATTAACCATGTCTAGTCATTCAAAATGTGAGTTCAGTCATCAGTGAAGATCACTTGTTTGCCAATATAACTTGTTGTTTTCTGGGAAAAGAATTGGTATACTCTAAATGAAAGCCAACAGTTATAAATACAGGTTTCCCCTGCTATCCGAAAATGGAATATTCCTATGAAACCTTCCGTAAGCCGCAATGGCGTAAAGTGAACAAGCAATTGGCATTAATTTATATGGGAAAAATTTTGAGCATTCCGAGACCCAGAAAATAATCTACGAAGTCATACCACATAACACATAAAAACAAGATAACACTACCATATAATAAAAACAGGAATGAGAACTACACAGCCTATATAAACATAATGTATGTACAGTGTAGTTTTGGTAATCGAAAGAAATCCAAAGAGTAGTAATCCTATGGTGGCTTAATGCTGAGTGTAGTTCCCAGGGAAGGAGTTTGGCAGCGGCACTCTTGTTGCTCTGGGTGCACACTAGCTCTTTAATAACAGCTTGCTGGAAAAGTGAAAATCCTCCTTTGAATTTTTTTCAGTTAGCAAAAGCAGGTATTAATTTTGGTGTAAGTGGTGTAAAAAAAAAACTTTCAAAAAGGAGCGGTCTGTACTTTAATTTATACTTACTGTCCTTGTTCTAAAACTATAGGATGCAAGATGATTTTCTGAATATTTTATGATGATAATTTCTATTGTTATACAAGTTTATATTAATCTTTGGTTGATGGCCTCCCCATTCTGCAAATTCTTTTCCCTCAGCACCAACTCTAGTTATACATTTTTCTATTGTCATGACAGTATCTTACCTCGTCTCACAAAGTAATCAGTTAATTTACCAACTCTCTCCTTTAACTGCAGTTTTGTGTTTTGATGAGCTTATGTGGGTTTCTAGACCACTAGCACCTTCGTTTGATGCTGGCACGTACTTTTCAGAGATGTTTTCTGAAAATTTTCTGTGAATTTACATTTGTGTTTGGGCATTTTAAGGTTGTTCAGGATGTGCGATGATCAACAAGCAAGCTGATGCTCTGACCCTTGACTGTCGTGACTAGGATGTAGTTTGACTAATATTTGCGTAAAATGCGTGTACATGACTGACCAATTGTGGCATGCAAGAAGGCAGGACCTATAGATTAAGATTTTTAAAAAATGCAAAAATTCACATAATGAATGGCAACTGTATAAATCCGAATCTGGGACATTTTTGATGATTTAGGAATCCTGGTTGGACTTATTTTATATGGGAAAAAGTGGACATAGTCACCCTAAATCAACCGCATAGTCCAAATAAATGGTATACGCTACAGCATAAACTACTTGTGTATTTACTTACATTTTTCAATCTACTATGCATTGTATTTCTATATACTTTGTATATATTTAATAATTATTTCTATAATATATGAATTATTCAAGTACATTGTGATTGTAACATTAATTTCTAAATGTATGATACATGTTAAAAATTTTCATTCATTTGCAGCTTTCTGGAAACTGCAATTATTGCATTTTGCCATATAGAGGCTTGTGACTTAATACAGTCCTCCAGAGCACGTAATGAAAAATGCACTCAAATGTATTTAAGTCAGTGGCAGAATACATGTAAGGATTGTTTACATGTGATGCCCATATTTTGGTGTTTCTTCACCCAAAGTACGTATCCAGCCAAAGTGCACTTAAACCCCAGACTTAAATCAATGGAAGAAAACACTTATAGGCTGATTTATACTACTGCATAGAATCAGCGCCATCGGTACAGTGTAGGTAGCTGCGTACCCAGCACCATAGCCTGATGTGTACTCTAGGCAACAGGTTACAATGTGAAAAGAGTGCATCTACTTGCTTTTTTGACTTAAGTTCATGGGAGAACCACTGTCTTAAAACCTTTTTTACACATCCAATCACAAATTTTACCATAATATTTTACTAAATCTTAGGGCTGCACACATATTCTTTTCATGGTTACTTCTCATCCAGGAAGTTTATGACATGTCCAACGGTTATGAAGATCACATGGCAGACGAGCTGAAAGATGCAAAAACAAACCTGATCGTCAATTACCTTCCTCAAAACATGACACAAGATGAGCTCCGCAGCCTGTTCAGCAGCATCGGTGAGGTGGAATCAGCAAAGCTTATCCGCGATAAAGTGGCAGGTAATTCTTTAAATCCAACTCAATGAGACATTCACCTATGACATCATAAAGAAGCTGCCTCTTTAACCAATGGCAGATTTGCCTGACACTACTTAAAACTCTTTCACATACCTTTAAACTCTGATTACTATTACCTCCTAGTATTAAAATATTAAAGTAGTAAAATGGCTTCTTTAATATTAGTTTAAATACTAGAACTCGTGGCCATAGGTGGAAATTAGCGGGAGAACATTTTAAACTGAATTTGAGAAAACACTTCTTTACACAGCGTGTCGAGTATAGAATAGTCTTCTTGCTAGTGTAGTGCAAGCTAAAACCTTTAAATCAGCGCTAGATAAGAGTTTAACAACTCTGAGCAATTAGTTAAGGGCTCCCCAAACAAGCTTGATGGGCCGAATGGCGTCCTCTCGTTTGTAAATTTGTAAATGTTCTTATGTTCTTATTAATATATATATTAGGCTATTATGGATGTTCATTACAATAAATAAGTTAAAAAAAAAACAACCTTGGCAGGGCTATTTTTGTATTGAAATGTTAAGTAAGTTTTAATCCGGTGTTTGACAATTTAAATTGGAGCTTCCCTATCTTGCACACAATTTTATCTGCAGGATATGAGTAGGTTATTGTCAGATTGTTTTTAAGTGTTTAGTTTAATCTATTTTTTTCCTTGTGCAAAATGTGCTGTAAAATCAATGGGAGAAAAAAAGTACTTCCATGTTTGTTCTGAGTTTATATAGAAGCAGCTCCTTGGGTATTTATCAGATGGATTCATCGCAAACCTCCTAAATTTACATTATAGGGTTTTTTATTGTATTTTTTAGTTGCCTATTTCACCTTTATAGAGTAGCATGCATTGTTAAGACTTGGTTTATTGGAAAAACTAATTTGTCCAGTTTTAAACTATTAAACATTTTTATTATTTTATTTTATTGTTTTCCTTTTTTTTCTCTAGGACACAGTTTAGGGTACGGATTTGTTAACTATGTTAACCCTAGTGATGCAGAAAGGGCAATCAGTACACTCAATGGGCTGAGACTACAGTCTAAAACTATCAAGGTAATGTGCAAAGAGGTGTTCTTATACATGTTTTAACTAATAGATGTGGTATATTTAAAAAAAAAAAAAAAAAAAAACCTAAGCAGCAGAAAGCATAATCCTTGCTGCAAAGTGTTTTCACTGAATAATGAAGATCACAGCTACAGTAGAAACATTTTTTTTTATTCTGCTGGTTGAATGTTTAACTTATGAAGGACAGCAGATAGTATACTTTTTTAAGGGATGTGTTATGGCTTCCTTTAAATAAAAAAAAATCTAAAATTCTCAAATTGGCATATGATTATCAAAATTGAAGCCTCTTTTTTTATGATTGTATTTGTTTTCCTCGTGAAATTTTCATCATGTAACTATAGATTTTCATTGGAAAACCATCAGGTCAAATTTAATTCTAATTTGTGTCCCCTCCTGCTTTATAGTGATTAGTGTTCTTTATTTAATTAAGGTTTTTTTTTAAGTACATTATTTAGTAAAATTCTGTTTAGATTTGCATTGCATTATTATAGATGCAATGTTGAATTATTTTCATCAATAATGCTTTAGTAACCAAAAACACATACTGTATGTTTCTTTCTAATATTTTCTGTGTCTGTCATGTGCTTCTCTCTTTCGAGGCTGAATTTTCCTTTTGTGTTGTCTTGTCCAGGTGTCCTATGCCAGGCCAAGTTCGGAAATGATAAAGGATGCAAACCTGTACATTAGTGGGCTGCCCAAGACCATGACCCAGAAAGATGTTGAGGACATGTTTGCACGTTATGGTCGCATTATTAACTCCCGTGTTCTTGTTGATCAGGCTTCAGGTAGACTAGAATAGTCAACTCATCAATCCAGAGCTTTTCATCTTTGATGGAAAATCTAAAAAGTACATGAGTACATTTTTTGAATACTTTTGTATGTAAATATATTTTTGATTTGTTTCTCTCAACAGGGCTATCTCGGGGGGTTGCGTTTATCCGCTTCGACAAGAGAGCAGAGGCGGAGGATGCCATCAAAGATCTAAATGGTCAGAAGCCGCCCGGGGCCACTGAACCGATCACTGTTAAGTTTGCTGCCAATCCGAACCAGGCAAAAAACTCTCAGCTTCTGTCTCAGCTCTACCATTCGCAATCTCGTCGTTTTGGGGGCCCTGTGCATCACCAAGCACAGAGGTTCAGGTAGGAATGCAATGATCTCCATACTTGTTGATATATCCTCCCATCTTTTATTTGGTTGCCCTGGTTAGGATTGCAGGGGTACTGCATTCCCAGCAAGGACAGGGTGGGATTATCAGGATTCCCAGGAAGCACAGGGTGGAATTGTCAGGATTCTCAGGATGCACAGGGTGGTATTATTGGGATTCTTAGGATGCAAAGGGTTGAATTGTCGGGATTTTCTGGAATCACCGGGTGGGATGGTCATTGTTCTCAGGACAGGAGGGTGGGATTATTGGAATTCATAGGAAGTATGGAGTAGAAGTCTGGAGTACACCCTGGACAGGATGTCAATCCATCATAGGGAAAATACATGGATGCACTCATGCACTATGGGAAAATTAGAGATGCACATTAGCCCAACTGAATATTTCCCTGAAATCTGTGGGGAGAACATGAGGGCTTTGGACAGGGATAATGTAAAGCACTTTGAGACAATGTAATGTGAAAATGCACTATATAAATAAAAATGAACTAAACTGAACATACAAACTCCACACCCACAGAGCTTCAGTGGTATTCAAAATCACAGACTTGGAGGTGTGAGACATCTATCCATCCATCAATCATCTCCCACTTTACTGGGTCGGGTCGCAGGGGCAGCAGTCTAAGCAGGGAAACCCAGACTTCCCTCTTCCTGGCCACTTCGTCCAGCTCCTCTGGGGGAATCCCGAGGCGTTCCCAGGCCAGCCGGGAGACATAGTCTCTCCAGCGTGTCCTGGGTCTTCCCCGGGGCCTCCTCCCCCCAGAGGTGTGGGACACTGCTATCAAAATAAGGTTTCATTAGCCCATTGTATCAGTACGGATTCATGAGGGTTTTTTTGCTGTCCAATGAGACAGAAGAGAAGCAAAGTTTGGGGTCAGAACGCAGGTTCAGCCATTCATCTGGCATCTCTGGACAAGTTCGGGGGTTAAGGGTCTCACTCAGGGACCCAATAGTGATTATGCTGGCCACATGATTTAAACAGACAACACACATGTACTGTAAACTTACTAATCTAATGTGTTCCACATTTCAAAATGTAGAGGGTATTTAGGGTAGCAATTTGCAACGTTGTACTGCAGTTGTGATAAAGAATTTGTGTGGCTTCTGTCTCCCAGGTTCTCTCCTATGAGTGTGGACCATGTGAGTGGACTCTCAGGAGTCAATATATCAGGTAACTCTTCGTCAGGCTGGTGCATTTTCATCTACAACCTCGGACAAGATGCTGATGAAGGCATACTGTGGCAGATGTTTGGCCCCTTTGGGGCTGTTACCAATGTCAAAGTCATTCGAGACTTTAATACCAATAAATGTAAAGGGTTTGGCTTTGTAACCATGACTAACTATGAGGAAGCAGCCATGGCAATTGCCAGCCTCAATGGGTATCGCCTAGGCGACAAGATCTTACAGGTGTCATTCAAAACCAGCAAGTCTCATAAGTAGATACTCTACAAAGTCAACGCTGCAAACTCAGTAGTTTCAAATCCATTTTATGCCAGTTTGCATTTGTCCTAATTATATTTTTGTATCATATTTTGGGATGGAAAGCTTTTTTGAGTCTATTAAATGACCAATTCAATAAGAAAATTGTGATGTAGTAATTTCAGTTTGTCATATGCATGGTAAAAAAGCATGCCTAGTCTTTAAGCATTTTCTTTAATCAAGTTTAAGATACTGCCTATTTTACATAGTAAAATGTATGAGGATACAATGCCTTAATTTCAGATTTACTCATTTCACTTATCACTGTTAGTTTGAAAAATAATATATTTGTTATTTCTACCCAAACCCCTTAAAATGATGATGAGCATAAGTCAGGGTGTTTTTTTTTATTTTTTATAAAGACATGGCATGCTTAATGCGTTGATATGTTGAAGTGGTTCTGTAATGGATATTGGGTGTTTTTCTTTGAGACCCTTTGAGTTCACCTTATTAAGAGGGACCAAAGAGAATGAAAGAAGGGTTTTTTTTATTTTTTAACATCTCCCCCACCCTTCAAGCTTCTCATGCCATATGGCATTGGATGTTAAGGCTAAATATATAATGTATTGATTGAATGTGTACTTAAACATCCATATTTTCTTGAACCTGTTCTTTCTGGTTTCATTGTATTTTGTTTTCAATAAAGATTTGTGTTGATGACTTTAAAATACCTATTTAAGACTAATTCTAAGCGTTTGTAATCTGCCTTTCAATATTGACTTCATTTTTTTAACAAACCATTTTGTTTTGTCAACTTTTGCATCATTTGTAAACATTAAATCTGATTTTTGTTTTCTTGAAGTTTTAAATTTTATTTAATGGAATGTTTTTTTCTTTCCTGTTTCTGTATTGTATGGTATTTAATTATTTTGCATCTGTTCACATTCCTTTTGTGTAACTGACTGTTGATCCAAATGGTTCTCTTAATATATTGCAAAATAAGCTGGTTAATTTCACATCCTCACTGCAGGTGACCCTCAACTTATTTCTTAAAACATTTATTAATTGGCTTTTAATTAAGTCTTCTCATTGCTTATCACTCAGAATGAAAATTGAAGTTCTCTGGTTGATGAATTGTAATTAATTAGCTTGATCTGCATTTCAGAAATTTTGTTTTAGACAAACATGTATATCTGCTACAGCTAACATTTCTAATATACTTAATGGTGTTAGACTACCTAACAAAGTAGTATTATCTTATATCATCAATTGAAAATTAAAACCTACTACTTTCAGACACTTGCATCAGTTGATATAATGTTTAGTTTTTACTTCAAATGAAATATACATACTAATTTGAATACTTTTAAAATCAACTACGATTTTTGCAACTGGGAATCCTGCCATTTGCATGCACTGGGATAACTGAACTACTTCAGTCACTTGTTGATTGCTCAGCTCTGTTGTTCTCCCAGGTTCTTTTCAGGAGGAAGGCTCTATGGAATGCGGTGGACCAGCTAACAATCACGTGGTTTGGTACCTCTCAGATTTATGTGGGTCTAGGTTCCTTCCACCTACTCACCTGTGTTTAGCCATGCTCATCTCTCAGGTGAACACCAGGGAAATGCTAAGGAATGGGTAATGTCAGTATCTGGTTTTGCTGCCATGGCTATAAAGTATTCACTTTCTTGAGATTCAATGTATTGCACCATGTCACCAACAGCACAAACTGAAGCCAGAATGCCACAGGTCCCCTGAACACAAAATAGTTATTCCCATTCATATTGTCTCTAAACATTATACATTTGCAGTTATTAGCAGGTTGCCTGCTAATGAAGTTTAAAGTAGGTGTGTGTGTGTACCTCCCTCCCTCTCTCTCTATATATATGTGTGTGTGTGTATGTATATACAGTGTGTGTGTGTGTATGTATGTATATATATATATATATATATATATATATATTACGGCTGTCAAAATTAACGGGTTAACGCGGATTAATCCATCATCATGATTAATCTGATTAAAAAATTTTACGCAATTATCCCATCTGCAGCGCAGAATGACTCAAAATCCCTGAAATCTCTCTGTAAACCTATTTCGGGTAGTTTTGGTGTGTTCCATTTGCCCTCGGAACTCATTCCGAGTCGGTTTCCGAGTTTTGAAGCCGGATGTGACGACATCCGCGCTCCCATTTCTCGGAGATCCCAAAAACATCTCGGAGCAGCGTAGACAATCCCGAGTTCAGAATCCAAGATGGCTGCGCCCTTCATCAACAGAAGGGAAAGTTGTAGTTTTATACTGTTTAAGCACTACTTCTCATTTGTGCCTCATTAAATCGGTTGCACACATTATACCGTCCAACTTATCTGAGGACTTGTTGTTACAGACTTTTATACGTAAAGCACCGTGTGTAATGTGCTATCAACCGATATTGTTAACAATTGCAATTAACCGGGCTAGAATTGGATTTCATGATTAGTCGGATTATTTGTCGGATTTACGGTAGTTTGGGCTAATTGTAAGTGAATGAAGATAAAGATCATTTAAACTGAGATACCTTAAATACGACAAGTTGTCCGGCTAAGCAAAAAATCTTTCTTTTTGATATGGGTCCATGGTATTTAAAAACAAAGTCCCGTTTCTCTCGCCCAGACTAGGGTCACCAGGGCCCCACCCTGGAGCCAGGCCTGGGGGAGGGGCCCGTAGGCGAGCGCCTGGCGGCCAGGCCTTGGCCCGTGGGGCCCGGCCGGGCACAGCCCGAAAGAGGCACGCGGGACTGTCCCCAGGTGGGCCCACCACCCGCAGGGGGAATGTCAGGGGTT